TTCGGTAGCCAGGAAAGCTAGGAAGGAGGTGCGCTTGTGCTATAACCCCTGCCTTTTGGCGGTCGGCTCCTCAAGAGTTTTCTTGAGGACCTCCAGAGTGCCCTCCTGATGGCCTCTCCTGGTCCTTAAGACTGTTTTATAGACTGTTCTTAGATTACCCCTGACCTCACACTGACCTGCTGTAGAGAGACTCAGTTCCTGTGGCTGATCTTCATACACCTTATATTATGGCCCCGGCACACTTCTAGTCACGATTCACCGCGCGTTCGCTAAGGGGTCAGCAACCCTTTTCTGAGATAGGATTGGAGCAACATTCTATGATTAGACCCCATGCACGTTTTGTACAGTTTCAGGAACAGCTCCAATATCAATGATCCTCTTTGCTAGCCCAAAACGTGCAGCATTATGGTAGCCTCAGCTGCATCTTCCGAGTGGTTAACACTTATCTTCGGCTTCACTGTCATGAGATTTATATTTCCTCTCGGCGCTGTTTGAGGAGTGATCGCTAAAGAGAAAGAGACCAAGGCAACATTCCAGTCGGTATGAACCTGATGCGTGGGCAAACGCAGAAAGCATAAGACTGAACGGCATGCCACCATCAAGCCAGGGTAGTGGGACCAGATCTACCGACACCAGCACACTGAGTTAGTTGTAAGAGCTCGGGTTCAGATGTAAGGCCCACTTAGTTGCCCATGAAACGCAGCATCAAAGGCACCGGCCGTTTTTCGTATGTAATAAACTATTCATCAGGTCCCTCAATGACATATTCTAGCTGTGTGGTATGTAGACTTCCCTCCAATTAATCCTTATGCAGCCTCGGAGTGTTCTTAGGGTACCTCGTGTCCTTTTTCTGTTCCCTCACCTTGGTATGACTCCATCTTCAAGGCTACATTTGAGTCTTAGGTCGTTCCAATTCCCTGTTCTATTTTGCAGAGGGAGCTCGGCACCGTATGACAGCTGGAAGTTTCTTTTTGTAGGTATTGTCATCACCTTACAAGCATTATCACTGATCGCCTTCATACTGATGGTTTTCACTCGCTCCCGAGGCCGATTCCCCGTTATGGAATTTCATCTCTAAGGTCACGGTGCTATCGCAAACATGCTCTGTAGTTTTACCCACTGCAACAGAAGTCAGGGTGAGAATTCCTAGCCAACTGTGTAAACGGTCTTTCGATTGCCAGAGTAGACAATACTGTTGTATGATTATTTTGAACCTGCACGTCCCCCACTAGCAGATAGTCACTAGTACAAAGAAAGTTCCATCTTGGTGGTTTCTTGTTTCGTCATATGATTGATATCAGAGCATGCCTTACCTGAACGTCTCACCCAACCCTACATTTTGATGACACAGCAACTAGTAATCAAAATCCGGGTGGATATGAACTTTTCGTCTCGAAGCTTCCTATTTTATCAGGACAGGAGTATACGGTCTATATTGGAGGACTTTGGAACTTTGGACACCTGTGACCCCGGTTCCACTGAGGCCCCACCGATGCAGAAAAATATTGCCATTCTTGGAGATGGTGAATTTATTTTTCACACCTCTGGTCTACGGCTGCAAGAGATCGCAAGCGAAAATCGCAGTGCTTTTTCCCAGCCATGGTGATTCTTAAGAGGTCTTCTTTACCATCGAGTTCTTGTTTGGTGTAGCTCTTACTCTGGTTGGTAAGCCGTACGAGACAAGAACGACAACTTTCCCGCCCGCTTTGCAAGGCTTAGTGACGTGTTCATCAGTGAGGGTCTCCCTTGGGACACATAGCTGCCCTTTTACGGCCGTCTCAGTTTCTCCTGTGGGCCTTCCAAATCAAGTGTACGGGGTGTGGCATTCCACTGCCGAACATCAAACAGTTACCTTCTTTCTTGCTGGCTGCATTGGTGCAGAAAAACAGTGAATGAAGCGGCGAACCTCAAGGCGAGACACAATTTCGGATTCTCCTGCGCTATAAAGAGGTTCTGACGTCAGATTATCACTTTCAATCAACACCTGTCTCTGTTTTGGGATATTCAGCCGTGAACGTCACGAAATTGAGTCCGGAGTTTGAGGCTGAAGTGGTCTCCACCGCAGGTGGAGGTTGTTCGGCCGTTCTTGGGCTACGTACTGCTGTGACCTTCTGTGAAATGCCGTAGGCGGTATGATGGTGTGGCTGCACTTCCTGATCACTTTAATGATGGAAGCCTACGTTTGATTAAAACTGCTGAAAGGCTTCGTGATTTATCGGTGGGGCCACCGGAAGAGCCTATCGTTAGCATTAGAGACGCTAGTAGCTTCATTACCACATTTAAAGGCTCCCTCCGCGCAGTATTTCCACATGGATCAAGTTAAAGTACAGAAGAAACACTAGCTTGACAGCCTGTGAGATGCAGCCGGTCCAGTAAGCAGCCCAAACAATACTGACGGCTTGAATTCTCGCACACGGGATCACCTATTCATAATGCCTTCCTCAAGTCGTTGGGCACTGCTGTTTAATTTCGAGATGTTTAGTACCCCGTCACCCATCAACCTTATCATATTTTCGATGAACGCTAAGTATAGCACATCTGCATACCTCTTTCCGCTATCTCAGATAACAGGAAGCTGGGTATTCCATCTATCCTCCGAGTGGTTTGTCGACCGCAAGGTGGTAGATGATCACTCCTGTTCTTACCATTTACTAAACGCCTTTCGGGGCTACCAAATACAGACTTCCAAAGCCAGGTTGCATAGCTTTGAACCTATGCTGCTTTATGAAAACCGAATGGCGTCTACCTTTGACAATGTGGACCATATCTTCATTAACTTGAACGTGGACCTGGTCGATGACCTAAGGTGCTAACATGGTAGGGATTCCTTACTGCTTGCTAAACTCACACTTTCGCCAAGCGACTATCTTTTCGTATCTCAGACCAGCTTCTGACTCTTGCTGGGACGGATCCTCCTTGTAATCAGCTTATGTTAAACTACCTTAGAGTCTTGGCTTTCATTTCTTCTCAAGATTTTATTTTGGTAACTTTTTTTAAGTCAAAAATTTAACTACTTCTGCTTACATCAACCTCCCCGAATCAACTGGACAAGCTATTCGCGGCTACTGACACTACGTACGTGACGGTTTGGGACTTTGCATTGGTTATTAGGCAACGCAGGTCGTATGACCAGTGGGTAGCGAGGCTGAATCCCCTAATGCCATCATAATCGATCTTCAATGTTACAGATATATGCACGACTGTCATCTAAGTGTCCATGATGATTTGGTTTGTGAACGCCCTGTCGTTCGAAGTCTTTTAACCGGTTACTAGGTAACAGCGATGTGCGTTTTCGACTCAAGTATATAGAAATTTTCCACTACCAAGGTACATCCCATTTATAGAACTTAACACCAGCAGAATGGCACTTGTCGCCCTCGAAGTCTTGGGGATATAAGATTCGGAAAATTTATGAACTTAACAGGACACACGAACTGTCTTTTCTTGTCTTTAGATATATCTAAAGTTGTCTTGTATTTGTTGCACTTTAAGCGTCCTAGTCAATCATTCTAAATGCATGTAATTTTTAAAAAAATCACTTTTAGCCAAGAAATATTCTTAGACTATTGTCATCCAGGCGATTTAACACTTCAAGGTAATGACAGCCAGTAAGTGACGAGACAGATATGAGCAGGGCACCCTTTATCTTCACTGCCAAATAGAAAAGAATTACCTGATTCCACCACTTTAGTCCATTCCCAGATTCCAGAAGGTCATATAGTGGGTAGCCACGTTGAGGGGCACCTACGAAATATCGTGTGCATGAGTCGTCATGACACTGAACCGAGCTAGGGCACAATTCCGAGGTATTGGCGGCATATTATCCTTCGTATCACGAACTTCTTTGTATGTCTTAAAACCACTGTTTAAGTTGGCGTCGGGCGACAACCAGCCCAATCACCAGGAGGTGCAGGAATCCCTCCCTCACCTTGTGGTTCCAAGAGGTATGTGCATCAGAGGCCTTAATGCTGGATCTATGGCCTATTGCGCATCAGCTCCCAAGGGTGTAGGGCAGCATAACAGGATTTGTAGCGTCTTGTGTGCAGAGACCCACTTCGGTGCAGATAGACTAGACCGTCTTTTGATATCGTCAAAAAATTGTGACCTCGAACTTTTGGTCCTTGAAGAGATTCATATATTTCAGTGTGTAATTTCTTGGAAGAAAATCGACTCTCAGCAAATATGCAAGGAGGAAATGAATTTTAGCATCAAAGGAACAAAGTTACTTACTCGGAAATCGGTGAATGCACTCTGTGCTAGCATCTCAAAGCCTATCCACCGCCATACGCCATTCCTTATCGACCGGCACATGAACAAACGAAATGAAGGGGAACAAAGTCAGTATGTCTAATTTTCGCGAAAATCGAATCTGACATATGTAAACTTTTTCATTCTAACTATTAGCAGCAATAAAAACTTGTCATTCGTATAAGAGTGATCACACGAATCACATGTCGATCTCAAAGATGTAATCTGTTTGTCTGCTTGAAAAAATTAGATAAGAATGGAAGATGAAAAATGGCCATGGCGAAGCTGTGTGTGTTCAGTGGAAGGTGTCTGCAGCAGTAAAACTGTTAGGCTCTGAAACTTCACTTGGCTTAGCTCACTGGAGCCACAGAGGTTAGCACCATGCAATGAAAATCGACTGTTTCAGAGTTTATTTAGTTTTAGGGTCTAGTTCCTACGACTATACATGAAATTTTAGCTGGGATCAACTGCTTTTGCTTAATCCAGTTACGCTGGCCTTAAAATTTGTGAAACAACCGATCATCTAACGGGTTAACAAAGACGTGACGCATGTGATTTCGTGAGAAGTAAAGGCAAATGGTTGTAAACTGTATGGTTACGAGCATCCACTAACTAGGTAGATTGATGAAATTTATCAACTGAAATGAATACAACAGAAAGGTAAGGCATGTCATTAGCATATCTAAGTAATATCATGCTGTTTATTATGGCATGTGGCTTTAACTTATGAATTTCTCCTTCTTATTTCGCAGAACAGTGAAGAAAGTACTGATAGGTCGTGGTGTTGTCGAATATTAACATTTATTGATGACAGGCTGTTTCAGTCCTTCACAAACTCCAAAAACAAATCTACGTGGCTGGATGTGAATAAAATAAGCGAATCTCTCTGGCTTGCCTTGGAGGTGCATGATGAAGGGTTGAATTCCTCAGCTTTACATGCAATGGGAACACATGTTTTACATAGGTGAGTCGATTTACCTCTGTTTTTCGCACTTAAAGTGAGCAGTGAATGGGAGGGAAGTAGGATCTGATGAATGCACAGATCTTGGTAGAACTCATCAGGTGGATTCCCTGCATATCTGGTTGTATGTAGTATAACACGTTTTAGGAAGAGCAGAAATGCGCTCCCAAGAAAAAGCGAGACATTGACTGGGGCATGGCAAATAAGATGCACATCTTCCAAGGGGCAGGCGGAAAGCAAATGGGAGATGTGGTTGTTTAAACTGAGGAGTTTGAGAACTACTCACGACGCTCTGAATAGGGCAGTTAGTAACCAGACAACAGATTGATTTCTGGGTGAAAACCAGTTATATCCATGGCGAACTATGTTGATTTCAAATGATCTCTCACAGTTGCCACTGCATAGCTCCCTTATTCCTCATTTTCAGCTCTATTTAGTTTGGGGCTCGAAAATCCGGCCGAGTAGCCCCTGTGACCGTGATGAACAGGCAGTTAAGTTTCACATGGCTCACGTAGAAGGTGAGCAAAAGCCTTGGTGACTGAATCGGGAGGAAGTTAGGATCTGGTCAGCAGTTGGTAGGCCACCAGACCTGTGACCTGCAGGCTGCCGATTAGAGCCCTGCTGCGCCCCACCTTTATTCAACGTTCAGTTCAAAAATGGCCGTCTCCAAAGCCATGGCTATGCCAACCTGTTCTATTCAAAATGACTTAATATGTCTCCGAACTGTTCATTCCAAGCGTGCACTTCAAGCTCTTGTTCGGATTCCTGATTCATAAAGGAAACACGTCTTCAACAAACATATCTAGCTTTCAAACACACAGTACATCGAAGTTATTGCAGGGCCTCGCTTTCTTCCATGTCCGGATTTTGTAGAGATTATGAAGTTTCAAGCTATGTTTCTGTTGTCCGTGAGAGTGAGTCATCGAGACTTGGTCTGAAGACGGAGCTTCGTAGTGAATAATATCAGATAGAAGGTCGGTGGGAATCAATGAAAGGTGAACACAAGTCTTCTAGTCTTTTTAATGATGGATGGTAGCTAGCAGTGGAATCCAGGCTGCGCGTTTCGCCCTATTTGGGACTCGTCAGCTGGATGTACCTGCCTTCCGGTGACTTATGATGTTCCCATCGAGATTCGAACTCGGCAGCAATCACTTCAAACACTAGTTTTATCCACTACGCCATCAATATAGTCATTAATATAATTAGAACGGGGATAATATTGAAGCATCCACACAGGAGATTATATGCCAATAGACGTCGATCAATTTGGTCCAACCAACGACACTGTAATATACAAACAATCATACGATTCTAATCTTAGTTTAAAATTCTCTGATGGTTTGAATCGGGTACCCGCACATGATTAAACTCCAGACCTATAGATTCAGTGCCTAATGCGTTACTGTTTCAACAATCACAGTGAGATTCTGTGAATCCGATACTCTAGGTTCAGTCATTTCATGGTCTAGGACCACCATCAACCAACACTGTCAAACAGGACTGGGCTGCACGTTTAACTTGTCCAACCTTGGAGGTTTAGTTCTACACCTGAACTACGGAAATGTTGCTTCCAAGTAGCCTTTTTATCAAGCAAGGGTTTGAAGCAAGTGATAACCAAATAATTTGTACTGACGTACTTCAACCTGTGGCTGCGGCAGCATAACTTTGTTTTATCACAATTTTTCAGTAAGTGGCTGAAGTTTTAAAACATCAACAAAAGAATGCTTCTACAACGTATTTTAGCCTTTAATTTAGCTTAATCATGCGGTGTCTCTAACAAACTAATCAATATAGGATAATATGTCTTGTCTGCTATGCAATTCCGAATGCCCACTTCTGGTTGCACAAAAAGCGTTTACGACTTGTAATAAGTATCTAATTATTAAAAAGTTGCTGCGCTTCTGAGGCCAAGATTCTGCAGAATCCGCTTAATAATACGGGAATAGATTTTTTCGCTGCACATACTCATCAGGATGTGAGTTCAAAAGCATCGACCGGAGGACCGGCGGATAAGACCTAGAAATACCACTTCTTCATTTTAACCCACTTTTTGCGATTCGCATTTCATACAAAAGATGTAGGGTTTCATATGTTGCAATCGGCAAACGTGTTGTTCATTTGTAAATACGTGCATTCCATGACGGTGCTAAGTCTGATATCTTTTCCTCTGCCTTGAATCCAATGAAAACAGTCAACCTCATTGCTATCTTATTTCTGTTGAAATACTGAATAACTTCTAAATGAGTTTATCGGTAATAGGTGATTGGAGGAGACCACCAGAAGTCAACGGACTTATTATTTCTAGTGTCGCGGGCAGTTCAGTGGCACGTATTTGCATTGTTCAAGAAACCAGCACCCTTTCAAGGGCATGAACCGGCTCTACCTGACACCGGTATGAATTCATCTGGTGAGTCATTCAGGTCGCAACTGACCTCATGCGAAGTCAGATTAGATATACTGGTCGGTCTGAGAAGTTTGATCATTTTCCTCCCGTATAGGTGGTGGTTGAATTCAAACATCACTTCTGATATATCAAACGAAGGCTAGAATCTCACTGCCATACACTGTTGTTTCTCTAGCCTCATTTCTTTTCAGTTTTACAGTTTTTCCACAACTGGCGATATACATTCATTCCGTTGACTTACCGCCTGTTAATTTTTCCAAAAATGTGCCTGTACCAAGTGTCAACGTGAACCGATGAGCAACTAATATAGGTCATATTTACATCCGTCCGCTTATCCAGCTGGAATCATTCTCATCAGATTGAACTGATGACTGGCAATGTATGCAGACCTTACATTCACTATTTTTCTCGTTGTTTCGGCGCTAGTGCTACATTATTCTCAGCGTACACATTATTCCTTTTCAAATACTTTCTTTCTCGATATACAGACCATTTCGATGTAATCTTAGCTTCATTCTCCGACTACTTCGAAAATCTCAAGAGTTGTGGTCCACTTGCCGATCAGATATAATCGGGCTAGAATCCGCGCGGTGTATAGCGAATTGCTTAGCAGCCTTGGTTAAGATGACGGAAGAAGGTTCCCGAATGTAAGCAGTCAGGGTGATGTTTCCAGCTTTCTGACGAATAAAAACTCTTTTGATTGGAAGAAATTGATTCGAACATGCTGGTATGTTTCTCTTAATTTCTACTGATCATTGATAAATTTGTTTCATTTGGTGGGATTTATAACGATACAACGTTATTAGGCAAGTAGGATATCATTCTAAATTTTTATCTTGGGCATTCTGGTTTTATATGCATAGCGCGCTGCACCAGCACACTTAAATAGGCATGAGTGGCCGTTTTATTAGCCTCGTAAGGTTCCATTATTTCTGAGAAAAACCGAGCGCTTACTCGTATGAGTCAAAAAACATGACACCAAAGGTCATATTATGTTCTATATCATAAGTTGTTTACAGGGGTAGGTAACGTCGGTCAAAGACATCGGGTCCATGAGTTTAAAGGGTAATTCGCCCATAGCTCAATTTATGTTTTGCCTGGCTTCTATTTGAGTTTACATCAGGAATGTCGTCAAACATTCGAATTTCCAGTGGATTGAATTAGTAAATGACGTCAACCTCTCCTATCTTCTCACGACCTACTCGACTTCACCATGGTAGTTGGATGACCAAGTTCAGAATATAGAGTTAACCCGCTTTCCAAATTTGTTTTTAACTGCTGTTTTGTAGGTCATAGTCTATCCCTTCATCTTCTACTAAATTCGCTTTGCACAGTTTACTTGATTTGCACTGAACTTTTCGAAACTACTGTTTACTCGAAGGGTACACTGCTTGGAAATCCAAATGACGTAAATATTAATGTGTACTTATTCTGCTGGGGTGTTTCATTTTGTAAACATCCGGCACTTTGCACCACGCCCACAGAGTAGGCGGGGGTTGAGATTACCTGCCATAAAGATACATACAGCCTACTTGGAAATTTGTACATACCCATAAAATGGCGTGTGCTTTTATGTTCAAGAATAAATATTATTATTACAAACAAATATGTTGCTTGACGTCTATCTCGATGGCGGCGATGGTGGCAGATATGACGTGAAAGAAGTCCACTCCCAGCTCATATAGATAATCATGTTCACTCAAGAAAGGAGCAATGCATACCAGATTACCTGTCGCATACCACCAAGTCTCTAGAATGCTATTCGAGCTCATCTTTCATGTGTAGTGAAGGATTTTAAGTACTTTTTAATCCTTAGACCAGGAAAGACCTAGCAGACAGTTCTGTCGGTGATATAAGAGTAAAACCTGGGCACTGTGGTGGAATGCGACTCCCTTTTCATTGAAATATTAGATACGTCGCACAGTGAAGGAACGGTATTATATACTGGATTACGTTTCGGAGACGATTTATTGTCCGTAGTCATATCGGGATAACACCACGATATTGACAGATGGTGTATGCAGTTCTGCTTTTCTTGCCTTTTTGTGATATAGGCTGTAGGATCTCTCGTATACTTGGAACATGTGCCGAATCATTTGTTTCACGTAGTTGGTGTTGATTTGATAGACAGAGGGTTAGTTATAGACCTCTTCCCCCACTCCGCTTTGTCAGCTTTAAGAAGTTTCACTTTGCGTGCGGATAATTGCTTGCATAGCAATGGCCGAGCCTTTTTCCGCATAAAACACGTCTCAAAATCGTGGGCTACTCTAAAGTAATTGTGGGCAGTGAATCGTGTCTGAAGAGCAATCCAGCTAAAAGTCACTGAAATTTCTTGGCGCCTTTCCTATTCTTCACTCCCTTCATATATCTAGTACAGTTGTTTAGCTCTTGTTTACCCATGTGCCTTATTCTTTTATATCATGCAACTTCTGCTTAGCCAACCCACTGATCCACCTTCATTCTCTCAGTGCTTACATTCTCATCATGTTTTTTTAGTTTTTATCATTGTCGTCATCATATCAATTACGAATCCACTAGTCGACTAGTCACTAGTCCAGTTTGTCCCCATCTTTCTTACTTTTAATCCCCTGTTGTGCTAACTGTTGCGTTTGTCCCCCACTCCTCGGTTTAATATATGCTGACTTGAGAAGTCACTATTAATGTTCCAATATCCAATATTGATAGTGCGAGCGTAGAAAACTGGTAGTTTTTGATCTCTCGCGTCTGGTTAACACCGGTACTTTTGTTAGGATCACTACCGTCTTTGCAGTCTGAGCAGTTTGAAACGCTCATAACTTGTCGACAAATCTATGTCACTGGTTTCATTTTTGAGTGTCTGTCTGATTAATGATATCCAAGTATAGCTTGTGGAGGGTCCAACATGAGTTAAAATTGTCCGTCCAGAACATATATCCTGTTCTGGTTGGCAAGACTGGAAGATTTAACATTCTTAGTCGGTAGGTTTGCATGAGAGATGCCGCCAGTGTAATCAAAAAGTGGTTGTTTGTCAGCAGAAGAAGTCTACAGAAAATGTGTCTTCGGAAGGCAGCAAAATACATCTAGCTGCCCTACAAGCAATAGTAATATTTTACGGCAGGAAGTTGATCACTGGACACAAGTTTGTAAAGGCAAAATCGGTAATATTACTATTCATTTGCTTTCTTCCTTCCTTTCACTGTACGTTTTCAGTGAGTTATGTTCTATACCAGATAACGCAAGCAAATTTGACCTTGCACCTAAACGGTTCGAGAGTGAAAAACCCAAAAATACAACATCAAGACCAGGGTTGGTTATCACTGAAGACGACGCTAATCATGTTGATGGTAGTGATAGTTACTTACTGGAAAGCGTTATTAAAAATCCGAACGATTGCCGTTGTGAAAACGGAGCAAAAGCACTGGGTTATATGTTGAGAATTCTAACTCCTGGCATGCTGAAGAGGCAAGAGACAGTTAATGAACTGGTGAAAGTGAGTTTTTTCGTTGATTTACTGTTATTACTCTTGAGTTTTGATAGTTGTTCATTGTCGTTTGCTTGACTTCACACCTGAATCAGGCGACCCACGGATCGCACACAGACCTGGGAAATTAATCTAGAAGACAATGGCTGGTTCATTTCGAAACAGCCTATATCATTTGGAAGGCCACTGAAGACTTATGGGTGCCGGCACATTGCTTTTTCGTAGTTTCAGTTTCCTCATCAGCACGCACACATGACGACCTAAGCGATGGGGCATATCCCTGCAGCTTCCGGCAGTGCGAAAATTGTCATGTCACGTGGAGAATAGGTAGCCAGTATAGGACTCACTTTTAAAGGCTACCAGCTAATAAAGACGACTGAGTTTGGCTTGAGTATTCCCCACCGCAGTCCGTTCTTCCATGTCACATAGCTGTAAGATATGCCGTTTGAAAGAAATGAAGAGGGTGCCGATTTTTGAGCACGGGTATCGCACAGCGTTGCTGACGCTCAGCATGCACCTTCCTTCACTTTGATATCGGTCGTTTCATTCACTTGTGAGGTGTAGCAACTTGGCGTTTCGCACTTGCTGGCTAGGTCCTATGTGCACGTCATCTGTCATGCCTGTCGAGTTTCGTCGGCAGTTTTTAAAACCCCTCGTAAATTTCAGAGATTCAACCGGAACTCATTTTCACTTCGGTACTGGTTTATAAGGGCTTGATGAGTTACTTCTCAGTTCCAGGCATGTCTTTCTCATAATATCAGCGTAAACAAAGCCCAGTTTAAAGGCTTTTCCTGCCTATCGATTCCAAATGCCTAAAACCAAATATAGTGTACCATTATTTCTTGCCAGCCAGCTTAGTGTTCACGTTGGGGATGTAGCCGACAAACGTTGACCGCTGCTGAGGTCTTCACACCTATTAAAGTCGATATCCACTGGCTGATTCATGTAGTCACTAAATGGGACCTAGCTCTGTCGTCGTATTTGTAAAGTGGCTCTGTTGACGTGATCAACTGTTAAGTAGGCATACGTATCATAAAGTAGACGATGTTTGTGTTATCAGTTATATGGCTCCATAATAGTCATAGAAATGTCCACGTTTAACACGTTGATCTTAAGAATTGATTGACAGAGGTAGGAAGTTTAATACTACAATCTGAGAATCACCTTCCTTGGAACTGCATAGCCCTGTTAAACTAGCGTTCGTGCAGTCTTGGGAAGGGACAATTTCACGATCAATCTATCGTTTTATTTCTCGCCTACACTCGTTGATAAAATCAAAAGATAGCAGCTAGAACCAGCGTCGATTAGATTTTTAGCTTTGTCTGTGAAATCTAGGGCGTTTCATTCATTTCAAAGCCCTCTGTAATGCCAGTTTGGCTTCACCTGTACATAGCTGCAAACATTCATCTAAGTCTGAGATATTTCCAGTCGACTAGACTGGTTTCACTGTATAAGAACTAACTTGCACTCACTACGATCAAGTTCACTTATGTGTCAGCAACACAGCAGATCAGCAGTATAACTTCTCGACAACGAACATCTCTTGCTTTAGTGGGAAGGTTAAGGGACTGGTTTGAAGCTATATTCCTCGTTTTGTTCAATTGCTTTTGTGATATATCAGTACATTCCTACTACAATTTTTCTCATTGAAAACAGACTCTTTGCCAAGCCCTGATAGTCAACAAAATTAATGGAGCGGCTAAAATTCGATGGAATGCAAATTTTTCAGCCGGTCACTTATTTCATAACAAAATCCTTTGGACTAGCCTAATTGAGAAGCATATGACAGCCACTGTTCAAAAAGAAGTTGGACAACTAGTAGGTGAATCCTCCCTCCTGCCCACATTTCCCCAGCTAGATCCAATAACTTCTTCTGAAACCGTTCGACAGTTTGTTCAGATCGTGAAATATTTATGCAACACAATGCGAAATGATAAATACTTTAAGGTTGGTTCTCTTTCCGTAGCATGTTTTTGTTAAATAAATTTTAAGCTACTCATAAGTAACCAGTACTAGTGCGTAAAATTTGTCATTTACATAAGCTCAGTAAGTATAATACGCCCATCCCAGTATTTCCTGTAGCTTGCCGAACTTTTGAGTAAGAGCTCTGCGCACACATTACTAAAATTATGTGAGTTACAGCATACAAAATGTATAACCAGTTTCTTTGAGACGTAATGCTATCCACTAGTTTTTGTGCATAGCACACACACACTTGAATATAGCCATTGATAAGAGGCATTGGTAGCTTTCGAGGCTCTTCACTCTCTCTCTCTCTCTCTGAGATGCGCAGTCATCGATCAGTATGCCCTGTCACGTGACTGCTATCTCTAAAACTCGACAACCCCGCGAATAACTATGTTAAGCCGAGTTTTTATCGGCTCCTAAGTTCAGTGGTGGTGTCTTGGACAAATCTGGGCGTAATTCATGCATTCCTGTTGTGTCAAAAAATGTCTTGCCGGACAAATACTGTATTATTTGTCATTCCGTGTTTCGCTGCAGACGGGTTCAACAGTTCTGCACCCTCTTGCCAGATATCATGTCACATCAGAACAGTTTCCAAGCATCGGTTTTCACTTGAGAACTAAAACGTATCCAGAACATCCTCGAACTGTCAACTTAAGTTCCCAGGAATATTTACATTTTATGGATAACTTAACCCAATGAGACTCTATCATGCGGTCACTGGAAATCCGGTGGGGGCCAAAGGAGAGGTATGATACCGCTTGAGTCGAAAGCAGATAGGCTGGACTGTTGAGGATCGCTGGGGGAAAAGCCGAGAAGGGAGAATTAGTGTCAGTGAACGAAACTGTTGCATATCGGCATGTTGGAGCCCAAGTCACTGTTGAATTCGATGCAGTGAAACTTTTTAAAAAAAGAGCCTCCAGCCTGATGATATATTTGCTGGGCGCTTCTTTCAACCAGATTAATCAGTACAACGTGTGTCAACAAATGGATGAGAACGCCATATCAACCGCCATATACGGCTGTTGATATGTTCTTGTGTGTTCGCCTGTGTCCAAGGTCTATCAAAAGTTGAGGTTCTGGTTGATACAAGATGCATTTCTACACTGGATACACACGGAAATCTCAATCCTAGCAACTGTATCAGTCAAACCAATCACCCTATGGTTATCCTATGAAAAATTGTATCCATTTACTAGATTGAGGTGGTCAGTGATTGGCATTGACAAGATGAAACCGTGTGTGACATTTGCACTATATCTAGTACTCCAGTTGCTGTGGTCGGTGGTTCCATGATTCGCTGAATAACCGTCAGTCGTCATTTTCCGGACTGATGAGTTGAATACACGCCCCGTTAACTCGTTTGCATGTTGCGCACATCAAAACCACATAAACTGCAGCTGTTTTATGTCAGGTTGGAACACTTTACTAAACCATATTCTGAGAATTCAACTCTCAAACACGATTTCACTGTTTTCAGTTCCATTTTATCTATGCCATCAGAAACTGAGGACAAGCTGCACACTGCATGTAGTTGGTCACATAATGCCTGGGATTGCTACGCTTGGGGAAAGGTGGATAGTAACCGTTGTAAACTAAACCGGCACGTTTGATCGTGGAGTGAGTAAACCCGATATGGGTTCACAGCCAGACCAAACAGGGGACTCATAAAATAGTTTGTCTTTACACCAACTCGTTGCCAGGATCCAGTCGGTGTTTCTATGTAGTCATCATTGCTCACGGATGACTGAAGGTCATCCGTCATATTTCCGATGTAGTCGCTGAGGCAAGTGATGCGATACTATGGCACTCTGTACTTCTCTTGTTAAGTGTCAGGTCTGCCTGCAAGCTGACCGCAAGCACCTTATACAAGAGTTTAATTTAACGTAGAAGGCGTATTTTACTTGTGTAATACCGGTGAGGTATATCAGAACTAAAAACAGAATAAACAAATATTTCATATTATTCCCCAGCGTTTCGATCTTGCTAGGGAGATCCTTTCAAGAGAATGAATCTGACACTAAGTTTTCAGGTTAATGTTTAAGTTTTGGCACAGAAGGTGGTGACGCTGACAATCGTCCAATTACATCGTGATATGGAGCTGAGATCAATGTAATACAGGTGGGTGAATGGGCAGATCGGTCAGAGAGGCTTTTTAAGTTGTGCAGAAATAGGGTGGGGAAATTTAGTTCTACCATGAGAAGCACAATGAGGTTGTGAGTCAGCAATGGTGAGAGAGAATAGGTTACTAGTTTGGAAAGACGAATAGTTTAACATCAACCAATGTATAATAAGTAATATTGATAACAATTATTCAGTCCTCAAGTTTTTCAAACCATCCAACCCATTCTTGGTTGGGATACCCTCAAGTTTAGTCCAATTCATTATATTTTAGGCTAAAAACTAACCCAGATCACGGGATCAGGCCAGGTGGATCCCTTTCGAGCTCCCGAGACTGTGCTGTTCATTAATCGATTGCGTAAACTACCTATTCGAAGACCTGGATCAACTGCTGACCATTTTATTTAACTGGGTGTGACAACTTCAGTAGTGTGTCGACCGGATTTATAGTACCGAAGTGTCAAAGCCAAAAATTCAATCATATTCACCGTGACACCACACAACACTGGACCCTGATTCCACCCCTCCTCCAGTCCATCCCAGTATTTGACTCTGGTTTTATATGCTGTCTGTAAATAGCACAGATTTATCGAATACTCACATATTTTCGGCTCCACTTCCGCTCAGCGTTCGATGCGTAATGTACTCTTACTGATTATATGACTCGTTATTCCCAGGGTACTGCTCATACCGGGTGATTGTACCGGTACTAGTTTTCACTGCTGTTGTTTGCGAAATGTTCTTTACCCAGTATTAATGGCCAGCAATATCCGAACAACTGATCACTCCGGAAGACTTTACATAGTGCGATGCCTTCTCCTTTGTAAACTTTCTTGGTCTCACTGCAAAAAGGTGCATTCGGATATAGCCTGTAAAAACGTTATGTATTCGTTCACCACTCGAAATACATTATTGTTATTATACTGTTTTATCTTTTTTACGTTTGGGTAAAACTCAGGCTCGTGTGTATGCAGCCAGATCATTGTATGCCATTTTCGAACGCTCGCCATTCGATCATCCCAATAGTGTAATCAATCTCTTTACAAAGACAGTTACAGAAGAACAATCAACCAGTAATTCTCACTTTACGATGGACAACCTTCCAGTGACATGGATACTGCAAGCTTCAATTCATATTTTAACGAATACACAGTCCTCCTTACATGAAGCTCACAAACATTCAGCTGACCTCGACAAAGGGATATCAACGAGATACTCAAATTCTTCATGCATAGCCATAATGCGCTTGACAGAAAACCATTACCGTAATCAGTCAGTAATCTTCTCAACTATTCTACTATTTCAGTCTTTATACTACTTACTGTTGCTACTAAGAGACGCATCAGTTCCCAATCCAGATAATCGACGGTTCAATGCTCAAACTTTAATTAACCAAATGGAAGATTTTTTAGACAAAACTGATCTAAATAATCAGCTTTTGAATGAACAAATCAATAATTTAGTAGAGTTAAGTTTACAACCAACGGACGAGTATCTAAGATGCACTGAGGCAATGTTTCCTGGTCCACTATCAACAGAGGACATGAATAAAACGTGTATAAATGGTGATCCTCAGTCAAACAATATTGGTGAACTCGTCCAACAAGTTTTCAACCTGTTTAATGAGTGCGCAAGCACGCATTCAGTAAAAATGGAGTCTTTCGAAATGTTTTTACTCAGATGCTTGCCAGCTACTCATTATTCTACAGATATACCGCAACTGAAGGTCTTAAATGACGAAAATGATGTGAAAATTAGGAAATCAGATGCAGAAATTTCAGGGTTTCGACAAATTTATGATTGAAACCATGGGACATTTTTCTGGCTTCCTGTTTGTGGATGATTTTGTTGGTTCGCACATGTGTTATTAGTTTTCAAATATATTTTTTCGTATCGGATCACAGCATTTCTTCTGAGTGATCACAATGTAAGTGGGCTCTACACGTACAACAGACCTCTTCGTAGTGATGGCAAGGCATTTGTTCGCATTCAGTCTTTACCATCCTTACGTGTTATATGACACCGAAGTGCTGAATGTCAGGTAAACATAATGATGAGGATGACATTCACAGCAAACAGGTGACCTAAAATCCTGTCAGACAGTTGTTTGATTTGTTCTCCTTCCTTTGCTGACTCACCTGTTTCAAGTTCCGCTGTATCTACAATGAAGATTCTTTTGAAAACTAGACAAATAAAAGTCCATCAAATCTTACAAGTCAACTTCAGGCTTCACAAACGAAATCATCAGGTCTTGGTGAAGTGATTAGTGCGACAACTTCGGCCGAGATGGAGTCTACACAATATGTCTACTTCTCCGCTCGGTCCTCATTAGGCGTAAAAAAGCAAATATTTCCCTCAGCAAACCCTTAGAAGTCGATGTAGTACAAAGCCTGGTTCCTATTAGGGACGTTGATCTTAGTAGGGTGCACCTCTTGAATACCAATACCAGACGGAGCAATCCGTTGTGCATTGTTCGTTCATCTGCTGACTCCTTTGGTATTACTATACTGCCTGAAATTCAGATGACGAAATGTGACGGCATTCAATAATAATGATAAATTTTTGTTCTCATGTTGGTAATTCAACATGATAGAAGCTAGGTTACAGGTATCATCACATTGATACCTGCCAAAAAATCTACAAGATTTTACGGGTCCTGAATAGTACAGAGAAGAGGTAGTTTAACTCCATCAAAAACATCAGATCACGGTTACGGACAAAGAGTATACCCAACACAGAGTAAAACCATCCCATTCACCCAGTTCTCCTGATAGATATATTGATAAGAAAGAAACCACTAGTGCTGGTAGTAGCCGTCCTTTTAATTAGGCGTTAGGGTTGCTTTTCGCCTATTTAAACAAACGGCAGATGTCACTCAAATGCTCCGCAGCATATAATCTCTTGCGTATTTAGTCACTCTGTCAGAAAATCAGGACTATTAAGCAATGAAACCCTCCTAGAAAATAACTGATTTCATCATCAAAAAGTTCCGTGTGTTCGGTGTTTACAAAACGCCATGGTGTTTAATTCGCCTAACAATGCTGGTATGCACACTACGAAAAACCTGACTGAAAGTCCGTGGGACGGCGAACGTATCGTGTATTTTCAAGAAAGTACCTGATACTATATCATGTTTAGCTTGCATAACACTACTTCAGTTGAGCAGAGGCTAACAACTAGGTAAACTGTCTCTGGAAAAAGTATAGACTATGTGTTACAGGATAGCTATTCACTTTCACATTTATAAAGGTTACCTTGACAAGCGTTCCAAACATCGAAAGTGCTCAACATCTCTTATAAGCATCCACGACTACCCTAAAACCTTATCTACTCTGCCCAGCATCCAAAACTGATGCGTTTGACCTGGTCATGTTGGGGACAACTTAAGGTGAGATGGCACAACCAAACATACTGGCTCAACAACCGATGATTGTCGCTCTTTGAAGTTGCTCGTTACAGTCAGTGACAACGTTATAGCCACCATTCAACAATATAACTTCTATTCCTGACCCTAATGATAGTGGAGAATTCACTGATCTGGTCCACTCGAGGTAGCCTGCTTGAAATTTGGGCTATCACATTTTATCACGGTATGAAAATTGCACAATGCACCATCTCCTTCTAAACCAAATCCCAACCGTTTAGCTATAAATTCTCGCTTGAAACTGAATCACGCTGGTAAAAAATCCAGAACAATAGTCATTGTGGCTGAAAGTTTGTCCATAACTCCTGAGTTTGACCTCGGGAACAATGCGTGAACTATTGATGACACCCACAGAAGTGTTTTTCCAGTCAAACACAGGTTTAGAAACTTAGGTAAAACTTCACGATCAGAAGCAAAACATGTGAGCAGGTATTCCAACTCACCTACAAAGAAAACTTCCCTTTCAGATGCTTATTCCAGGTTTAGTTACAATTCCCCTTATTTTTGTTTCCCTCAACATGAGTATTCGGTCACTAATCAACAACGACGTGGGGAGTAACATGATACGGCTACGCCTTATCAGAAACTCTTGAGGAATATCAGACTTAAAAATTAAGAGTGCCCTTCTGTTGACCCATCTGATAAAAGTTACCTCACGCGAGAACTGTTTCCATGATTAATAAGTGAATAAATATCTTAATGTCACACTATGGATTTAACATGAGGGAAACCAGTCTACGAGCATCATCACGCCGATATATGCCGAAAAATCTGCAAGATTTTAAGGATCCTGAATGGTGCAGAACGGAGGTCGTCAAATTATATTAAAAAGCATCAGGGGATTCAGCTGGTTATGAAGCGAGCAAGAAAATATTACTTTTCGGCATCTACAGACCGTTAAAGTTTGGGTCGTCTTCAGTCACACTTTCTTTCTCACCACAGGCGGCACCACGATAGCGTAAAATCCCAAATTTCAGTCGGCACGTTTGGCTCCTCCTCATAAAGCACATTACGCCAGATATACGTTTATTTTACTATGAAGTCCCACGCTCGTAGCTTCAGAGATCGAAAGGACCCAAACCGATGGTTTCGAGAATCAGTGCGTTTCTAAACAATCATGTAATCCAAGTGAAAATAAGTGTTAAGGCAATTCTTTCTTTTCAAGAGATACTGTCCACAGCAATATAGATTAGTGCTATTTGAAATGGGTGTTTTTGATGAATAAACATTTGAAAAACTTCCGACCGATAGCAATAGATTTTCCATAATGTTCACTTTAAAGCATCCAGCATTTTCAAGGAGGTATATTCACTATTAGATGAAGTACTAGAGAAGTCTGTTGCATGGCATAGTTGTGAAAACGCAATGACTGGCATAGTTTAAATCAGAATATACACATGAAACCTAGGGCTATACACGTAATAGTAGGCGTGACGCTATGTACAAGGGTTGAAATACACAAGTAGGTAACTTTTTTGTGCTTTGGTTCCGCGCTTTCTGTTCTTGTTTTAAACAGTATGTTGGAGACCTTCAATTGGATTGGGGTTACAGTATTTCATCGAAAGTGGGGATCCTGTACCCGAGAAAATAATGTCCTAGTAGCCGTTACGTTTAGGAGGTCATCGAATTCAACCACTCAATGAGGCAAGAGACCTGGGCGTCCAATATTCTGGCAACCTTAACTTCACTAAGCATGTAACAGCCATCGTCTCTAAAGCCGTAAGATATGACGAATAACCATGTGACAGGTGGTTACAACTCCAGCCCGTCACTACAGAACTCTTTCGCAAGGCCTTCAGAAACCGTCAAACAGCATCCGAAGCTTCCAGGCATAGTAGCACTTGCACTGCTCAGGCGTGACCTATTGCATCTGGAGGAAGCACCCGGAAAGTCAGAGAAATATACAGTAAGGCAAGAGTGTGAGCATTGTTGTCAGTGAATCCAACGGCTTGATTTATTCGCCTCTAAATATCGTTAGGAAGCGGTCTCACAGCAGTGTCTGAGACCGCTGATGACGTAAACTTTCCAGACGAACAATTGCTCCTAATCAAGATGTAGAGTCGTGAGTGACCTCAACGGAGTGACCCCCCAAAGACCTTGAGGCTTTCCGCAAGACACAGGACTGAGCGACAGTAAATCAACTGGTCTGTACGAGCTCGTGAAAGGGTATTGGATAGTGGATCAAAGCGCGAGCAATGGGACCAGGGTTTACTAGCTTTTAATTAAAAAAATGTCCACCATGAAATCTCACCATGGGCAGTGGGAATATCTATAACGACAAACTCACTCAGAGTACTTTTAGAAACACACGTTGGCACACATGGTTTACTCCCAGTCTAATCAGCGAGTCCTCGACCTCTCGCCTCCGCCACAACACTTATACATTACTGTCGGTCCACTTTTCAGTTGATACTCAATAAGTGGGTCCTTTTTCCCTCGCCTTTACCACGACACACTAAACATTTCCTTTTGGCTTGGTGCCCGAGATAAACTTGACCCCATAAGTTTAGGCTACAAAGCAGGCAGGACTTGTAGAAAGATGATTGTCTCCATAGTTCCTGCAAACTGAAAAGCTAAACAATCCGAATGGTTGCACGCCCCTTGAATGCCAACGTGTCTTGCCTCGTCTTCTTTCTTCTCAGAAACAACTACATAAACGTCTTTCAAGTCAGATCCTTTCTTTCTAAAAGTAGGTTTTGCAAAAACATTGTCCATGGAACTTGTAGTCCTCAATCGGTCGATACCGTCTCAACTGTGTGATAGGTCTAAATGTCTCGATCAACTGCCGTAACTCGGGCTGATGCATCCATATCAGTAGTTATGACACTAGATCATCAATCTTGGGCCTGCGAGATACTCTGCGAGCTCTTCTGGGCCGTAAAACTAGACAACCGTAGGCAGGGCTGGCGGCTTTCTTTAAGCAACTACTTCTAGGGCTCCCAGACTCCATCCGGTATCACGGAACGGTTGGACACAACAAGCGCCTGGTAGGGGGATCTACAGACCTCTCACTAGCAGTGTGGAACATAGTTGGCAACTGCTCCAAGTAACTTCCGAAGTGCCGTCTATGGGATGTGACCAGATCATCATAGCCGGAGGTTTCAACACCCCATCTCTAAATCTTGGGCAGAAGTGGGCAGTCGCAGGCTAGAGTTTCTACCGAAACCTACTCAACAATATCAACGAGGTCTGGCTGCGTGAGAATATTGGGGAGGACACTCTATGGAGTCAGGTGAGACAACGTCCCTCTACCATCTCCCGGCAGAAAACGTCCGGGTTTAACCACCTCTTGGCAGCAGCACTCATGGTATAGTGGCGTTGGACTTGGTTTCAGTGGACAACTATAAAGGAGGCAATCTCACCCTCGCCCTTGCTGCATC